TTTATAGGATTCTCTCTCCACTTGTTTTTGCTTACATTTACTTTTTGTCATCTTCATCTCGTTTAGCTGTGGAGTGCCACACATCATAAGTGGTCCCAGTGCCAAATTCTAAGTTCTAATTCATTTTTTCTTCTTCAGAGCGGCATGATATTTCTGTCTGTTTTATTCACCTTGTTCAGTCTTCAAACTGCAGGAAACTTTACAGATCCTGACTTGTCTATCCTCTGTGTAATACAAGATGGATGGGGATGTAATTGTTCAAGTGACAGTCGGCATACGGCAGCCAAGTGTAACGTTGCTATCTTGCCTCATATCGATAGCTACATCAATGATCCACAGTTCGTTCAACGATTGTAAGTAAATTGATCAATACATTTATAACATTGAGTATTTTTGGTAAGAACCATCGATATATTTTCCTGCATCAATTAAAAGCCCCTTTATTTTCTTTCCTCATCGATCTTATTTAGGGATCTTTCCAACAACAATATCACAGATGTTTTTTCAGGAGCATTCTCGAACTTCACCGGGTTAATTTACCTGTAAGTAGCTTTTTTCCCCATTTTTTCTTTAATTCCTTGCCTTGGCCTTTCCTCTTTTCTAGATCAACAGATTAATTCATTCACATTTTGTTCTCATTTTGCAGGTCTTTATCTTCTAGTCGCATAGCAGCGATAAGAAACGAGGCGTTTCGAGGGTTGACAAGACTACAAGAACTGTAAGTTTATTTGATTTGTCACAATGAAACTTACAATAAAATCCTATCAATTCAAACTGGACTGACAGCTGTGATCCGACGCGAGATAAACATCTTTTTCGCATATCCTTCGAAATCTTAAAATTTAATTTGAAAATGAAAATCTTATTTAGAAACTGATGCCGATTCATAATGCGAAATTCATCCGTGACAAATAACAGCAAAACTAATTAAAATTGAAAACCAATTAAAGAGAAAACTAAACAAATGCAACTTGAAATGAAAAAAAGGACAGGAACAAATTGGAACCGCAGGACAATATTAAAGGTAGATTCAAATCTAATCATATCGTAAAAGAAAACAGGTTACAATGGTGTAGGAAGAGTGAGACTAGGGGTGGCTAACACAACCTGTCTCTTCTAAAATTTCCTGGTTGCGACTTAAATTTTATTATTATAAAATAATTTTATTTATTTATAGTTTATTAGTCGAATAAAAAAGAGAATCTATTTCTAGCTTTATGTTCCGGATAACAAACAAGCCCGTTGGAACTACAGGTTTTCTTAATGGCTTACACTTATGGAGTTCATGCGGTTTTGGAAGGAGCTTTCCCGCCAAAACGCTCGCATGCTCGTCCTCCAGGCTTATTTCTTGGATTCTCAATCATGTTTTGTCTATACTGTAAAGTTAAACCTCTGACCAGACCTAAAGCTGCATACTATGGGATTTTTTTCATTCCAGAGATCTCAGTCACAATAATATCCAATATTGGGACACATCTTTCCTTGCACGAAACCTGCCCAATCTTATTATCTTGAACGTTGCACAAAACAAACACTGGATGCCAGATGAGCGTGCCCTTTCTGTAAGAAGCCTTGAAGTCGTTCATGTTATATTGTCAGAGATTCCTTTTATAAAAAATATGTTCCTGAATTGTTCTCTGGTGAAGGATGCCTCACATGCCAACGAAGATGCCAATGTAATGAATCCCAGGTACGCTTTACCTGGTCTCTATCTTTGTATTACTCCTAAAGTGGTGATCAGGAATACAAGCTTTGGGGAGATTGCTGGTCGCTTTGGGTACAGCTTACGATGCAATGTTCTTGTCAAAACTACACCAGTCTTCGTTGTCACTTCGAGGGAAAAAATGGATAAGGATAACGCATGGTATGAAGTATTTCTGGATTCTCCATGTTGGAAGACCGTAAACAGTGTCCATATACTAACTCTGGTTATTGGTATTTTGGCAATGTTCCTCAACTTGGCAGTGACAGGAACAACGCTTAGAAGCAGAGTTCTACGAGAGTCTGTAGCACACGTTCTTGTGGCTAATATTGCTGTGGGTGACCTGTTGGCGGCATTTTATATGGTTGTAATCATCATTACCAGACAGAGCATGCCCAGTGCCGTATATCACTATGCCTCGTTGTTACCGTACTACTGCAGGACTATCGGGCTCTGTTTCCTGGTCGGTCAGTTCTCAAGCATCATGATGTCATTTGTCATGACCTTAGAGAGATACCTAGCTGTGGTATACTGCATGAGACCGCACATCAGAATCACCATGCCAACGTGTCGGGTTGCCGTTGTGATAGTGTGGTGCTTGTCGGTTTCAGCGGCCGTCAGTTTCATGTTTTCACCAAAATTTTCCGCTCGAGTCGACGATATATGTATTCCTGGGGAAAACAGCGATGATTTAAACATCGTTGCTCTTGTCAGCTTGATAGGTATTCTCCTCTACGCTTCATCTATTGCGCTCTACTGTCATATTTATATCGACGTCAAAAAAACTAGCGAAAGAACTGAACTGCTGGAGAGAGAGTGCAGATTGGCTCGACGAATAGCAATGGTAGTTTTCACAAACATTATCTTATTTATCTTGCCCCTGATTGCAACAAGTATAGTGAGTGTATCACCGCTTAATAAACGAATTCCCCAAAATAACAAGGAAATTTTCTACAAAACGTTCGCAGTGACATGTCTTGGGATTAACTGCTGCTTCAATCCCATTCTATTTTCATTTCGTAATGAAAAATTTCGCTTCGAGTTCTCGAAGTTATATTTTCAACGTCCAAATTCTGTGGCCCCGGATACTTAAAGCTGTAGTATTACAGCCACCGTGTAGGATAGATCTATTTGTTTGGAAGTGGTATAATTTGTACTACTTGAAAAACATTATTAGCGTGAATATCATTTCTCTTTGCCGATTCATTTAAAACATTCCTTACTTTTAAATGCAACAACAGCAATTATCGTTTTAGCAATATAGTGAATATTAAAGCAGCCGAAATGGAAAGTATCTCTAATGTAAACAACTAGTGTGTGCGTGTGTGTGTGTGTGTAGGATAGGGGGAGAGGCGTTACCTCCACCGGCTCCTACGTCGCTACCAAATAATACCTTTAAGTATTATTACTTTCTTTAACAGTGGTTAAACTCGCGTGTTTTTTTAAAGAGCTCAAATATTTTGAAGCTATTTCAAAATCCCACTCGAGTAAATTGATTCCCGGCCAAATTGCATTCGAAACCATGATAACCTATACTATTATTATACGACACACTCAATTTCTTGGTATTACAACGTAACCATTTTTCAAGTGCAACTATAGAGCGATAATACACGGTCTGTTAACCGGTTTGAACAGTTCGTGAAGCTGTATTTTTTTCGCCCCTACGAGGCTCGAAAAAATACGGCCGCTTTCACTCGTAACATTATCCGGCTGTGATACACAACTAGCAGTATAATAACCTCTACCAACAGAATATGAACTAAGAGAAGGAATCCTACCTATATAGCCTTGTAACCATCATGTGCACAGTTTGATGCTATTTTTAGCTTGGAGATATTTTGAGCGAAGAACCTGATTGGCCGATTTTTTTGAGGGTAGGCGGCTTCTAGTCTTGCAGTAAACAAAAGCCTTTGTTTTCGTTGCTTTTCGTGTCCTAAAACGATGCATTAAAGGAAACATGATTATCGCGCGGGCATGGTAACGAGTTAAAAATAGCATCAATGATTCTAAAAATAGCATCAAAGTGTGCACATGATGGGGCACGGGGATTCCTTCTCTTAGTTCATTTTCTCTTGCCTCTACATAATGAATTATGGCTTAATGGCTTCTTACCGAGAACTTGGCTTCACTTCTTCACTTTACAAGCCTCGTTACGGCCACAAAATTTAACGGCAATAAGTACTCAATATACTGGAAAAGAAACAGAAAGAAGTATGAGGAAATTTGAAAGATTTGGAAAAAAGAAAGAATTGTACTCACCCTGTCACGCGTGGTATATTCTTGTATCAGTTTTTTTCTGTGGTCAAAAAACCTATTTAAACATCATCTACGTTATGCTTATCAAATTCATCTAGGTTAAATTTCCAAACATCGAGAATAGGGGGGAAAGGTTATAAATTTATGTCCAAGTGAAATACAACAATGAATTGACTGTTTTCGTTTAATATATTTATTGCAAATTTAAAATAGCAAACTGCATCATATAAGAATCAAAATTCACATTCATGACAAACCAGTGTATCAAAATAGAACATGGGATAGGACATARGCATTATGGTGTCATTAACTACGACTACAACTATCCATTGCACACTTTCATCTGTTCAGTTAATTAATACCAATCCTCTCACAGCTACAGGTATTATGAGAAAATACAATTTTGAATAAGGAACAAAGATCGCGAAGCATTTTGGAAGTCGTAGACTAATGGCGCCAGCGTGCAAAGGGACGATTGCTGGCTTTCGATCATTCCCATGGGAGTGAAGTAACAAAAGATACGGCGGCCATGTTGTTTGAGCCAAGATGGCGGCTATGACGTCATGTTCAAACGAAGGATTCGAACATACCCGAATCAACCAGGTTATGTAAAAAAATGCAATATTTGTTATTAAAAGCGTATAAATCTAATTTTCAGAATTCCAAAATGTGATTTGGTTGACCTTGACTTTCTTATGAAGGTCAACACAGCTTAATTCTGTTGCAACATTTTCCTCAGATAAATAGAATACTCTTATATTTTTCTTATTGCTATTCAAATAAGACCAAGAAAAAATATATCTTAACCGTTATTCACGTTTTCCAGAATAATCATCATATTTTCTCCGGACATGTTTTCTTGGTATGTCCTGAAAGAAAAAAGTAAACTCAGAACCCTTTGTATTGATGGTTTGCAAGTAATGCAAAAAGAATCAAATAATAAAAACATGGCGACCATGTTGGTGGTATGGAAGTCTTTTGTTAAATACCACCAACATGGCCGCGAAGAATTGTAAGAATACAAGGTAAGGGTATTTCACTATTGGTTTTTCCATAGTCATTGGAATACAACTATAATAAAAAAATGAAAAATAAATGGGATTTAGCAGTGGCATTTCTACAGAGTAGCTCTTTATCCACTGTGATTCCAATTGGGATTTAGGAGTTGATTTTTGCGGAGGGAGGAACGCCGGACAACCCGGAAAACCTTCGAAGCACAGGAGAGAACCAACAAGCAACTCTACCCACATACGACACTGAGCTCAGCGAGACTCGAACCCGGGTGGCATTGGTGAGAGGCGAGCGCTCTAACCGCTACGCCACCCCGTGCTTCCCAACTATTTAGCTTCGTTGGTTTGATGTGCACATTTCACACCATGTGATGCCACTCTTGGAAGTTGATTCTTTCATGTGTAAATACTTTAACAAGTTCGTCATAAAAGAACAATTCTCAAGTCAATGTCATGTGATCTGAAATGAGCAATTTGCATACGAAGCTAAAGTTTACTGTTCTCTGGTGTGAACGTTTGCATGGGTCGTACCTTCCTGATGACAGTTTCCACATTTCCGTTTCCTACCCCCTCGTCCTCCACTCGTTCCTCTCCCGTTCGACCCTGTCCATCCTCTTCCCTGGCTACTGCCTCTCGCTCCCCTTGAACCACGCCCAGTTGTGGGTGCAAATCCTCTGCTTTGGGGTGCTCCATCCTGATCTGCCCATTGGAAGAATGAACAGCCTTGGCCCATGGGCTTTGGACAAGCGTAGAATTGACGCCCTTGATTGGGACCGTCTTTTTTCACGGTTCGACTACAAAATTAATAAAGAAATGTCTCATAGGAACAAGACACTCTAGCGCTCTGGGTAGATTTTTGTATTGTTTGCCTAGTATTAACCATATAGCATTATCCATATCGGACATATCAAAATGTATTTTTACAATAGCTTACAAATTTCTCGCGCGAAGGTTATTTTTTATCATCAATAAAAAGACAGACAGATATGCTGACGTAGCCTCCTCCRCAGGCATCTCCTTGGCTCTTTTTGCTCCTTGGGCTTCATGTGGCGATGACACTTCTTCTCATCTACTCTTTCGTTCCTAGTTCTTCTCTGCCATAAAATTCAATACAGGGATCCCAACAGAGAATATAAAATTTAATGAATATAGAATATATGGAGTAGCCTGCGGAGGAGGCTAAAGCTGACTTTCCTCTGATTGTTTTGATTACTTTTTTTACTCGGCAACGCCTCATGGATCCATTAGATGACGCAATCTATCGTCAATAAGAGGACAGACACATAAAATTCTGATGTCAATTTGTTAAGTATGCATGTAGTATAGTTCCTACCTGACCGCCGGCTCGTTGCAGTTACATACTGTTTGGTTAGGATCATCGAACCTGAACAATGCGCACAGTTGGTTAAAGCAATAAAACACTTGCAAGGTTGTGCGCAAATCTAAGTTTCAGTGTCAGAAAAGAATGGGTAGAAAAGAAGATAGAAAAAGGAGGGAGGAGAGAGTAGAGAGGAAGAGCAAAAGGGAATAAAAGTTCAAAGCAAGTAACTGAGTAGACATATATTTAGTATAAAAACATTGATAGCATGACGTCTTACCCTTGATTGGAATTACTATCTTGAAAACCCCCTAGAAATTAAACATAGAAATACAACGAAATTATTAATTAAAGAGGCAGTCAAGATTATTTCCATTCAAAATAAAAACCCTTGTTTATCCCGTATGAACTAATCCTAAAACGCTTGAATACTGCGCAGTCTCTAAAAACCTGTGAGATACTCACCATTATTGTTCCAACTGGTGTTTCTATTTGGAGGTTGAGACCCAAAAGGTGCGCCACTAGCCGTGTTGTTGGCTGGGGCACCGTCATCTCCCCATAGAAAGAAGTCACAGMCACCATCTCTTTGTGAACATCGATAAAAAGGACGTCCTTAGAAAGATAATTACAAAAACCTTCAATTTACAATAGACTCCTTGCATGTGACGTCAAAGCAGCTCGATCTGGGGGGCAAAACAAAAGAATTCCAATCTCCTGAGAATTGGAACCTATTGTTTTGTCCGCCAGATTGAGCTGCATTCCAAAGTGCTGCAACTTACAAATGGTAAAGGGTCAGAGAAGAAAGTTGGTTGATGTTTCAAAGGAATGCTTTACAACTGGTTACACCCGGGATGATGGTCACCTTCGGTGATAATGATAATGCTTGTAGTTTTGTGCCATTGAAATAGATAGATGAAATGGCGGTAGATTCATGATGGCCTTTTGATCGTCATGCATAATAATGATGATGGTGATATCATGAAGTTAATGAAGATTTTGATTGATGATTATGTCGATGATGGTGATGATTGGTTCATTATATTACTGCAATTTTCCTAAACATACGAGTTCTGTGTCTGCGAGCTGCACGCTGAAATTTGTTTTTTTTTTCGCTGCCGTTAATCAAACCTAATCAGACGGTACCTTTTATATTTCAGCTTAGAGTTCCACAATATCTATTAGATTCATTAGTTTTAAATTCTGATGTTCATTCAAGAACTACTCGTTATTCCAAATGTAATTTTGTTTGCTCAAAGTTCAATCGCGTAACCGAGGATTGGAGGTCATTTGCAGTATCTGCCTTTCAACTTTGGAACACTCTTCCAGTTGATATTATTAAGTCTAAATCTAGTGTTAATAGTTTTAAGTCAGCCCTTCAGGATTACTGTTTTAATGAACAGAATTCTATACATCATTTTAGCCCTTATTGATTATATTATTTGTTATTACAGTAATTTATTTACACCTGATTGCCGTTTTTTTATTTTATTTATTTATATTTTTTTTACAGTTTTATAGTTTATGTTTCATAGTTTTGTAATTTTAT